CGTAGCGCTGCTGTCGCAGAGCCGGAACCGGCAGCCCCTGGTGCTGGGAGACAACTGCTTCGCTGACCTGGTGGAGAACTGGATGGACCTGCCCGAGGTGGGCGCCGAACCGCGTCGCAGAGCCCCTGCCGAACCCTCCCGCCGGCTGGCCAAGCCCCCCGCCTTCCTGCTCAGCCTCTCGGGCAATGTACGCCGTAAGCTGGCCAACATGGCCCGGCCCCGGGGGGCCGACGGTGCCCGCCCGGGCGGCCGCGATACCACCAAGCGTTTCTCCTGCCCGCTGGGGCTGGGGGGACAGCCCAAGGGCGCCTGCTTCCATCAGTCCCACAGCAACATCGCCCAGCTGGCCACGGACTTTCACCGCTTCACCGCCTTGATGAACAGCCGCAGCCGCCAGCCCATCATCTGCAACGACGTTATCGGCTACATTTAGCCCTGCTGCTGCTGCTGCTGCTGCGGCCCGCACCCCCACCCTGTAAATAAACCCCCGTTTTGTACGGTCTGGGCGCCGCAGCGTTTATCAAGGGGAGTGCCTGTGCCCCGACTCTGGGCAGAGGCAAGCAGGGGGTTTTTGCAATGAGGGCCATTGCAGCCTGCAGCGTTTATTGCATGGGGCAGGAGGTGCCGGCCCCTTGCTCAAGGTAGGGAGCACAGGAGAGGGGGACGGCTATCTTCAGCCTCAGCATCCTCTCCCTCGCACACGTACAGCAGCTCTAGGTCCTGCTGCTTCGGCATCCTGGCGTCCTCCAAGTTCTCTGATAACCTGTAGCAGGGAGAGGGTTGCTGGCTTTGTCCCCAAGGCTGTCTGAGTGCTCCAGGGGTGCCTTGGGCCCCTCAGGGGTGTCCGGCCAGGCTGGTGGGATGCAGGGGCCGGCAGCAAGGGGCCGGGCAGGGGTCCCGCCACGGGAAGTGCTGCCGGCAGGATGTTTATCCAGCAGCTGGCTGGGAGCTGCACTGCAGCTGGAGTGGCTCAGGACTGAGGCAGTGGGGGCTGGAAGCCCTCCCCTCCCAGGGCAGGATTGGGCCCTGGAGCCGGAGGCCTACCTCTGCGCCTGCTGCAGGGCCCGTGTCTCTGCATCTGCTTTGCTGTCATAGAGCACGATGTCGCCACACAGGAGCATGGTCACGGTCCAGCCATGTGTCCTCTGCAAGAGGTGTGTGTCGGGATCTGGCCCTGCATCCCCCAGGGTGACCTGGCTGACCGCTGACAGCACTGGGCTCACCTGCAGCCAGTCCAGCACCTCCTGCACCGTCATCGCCTGCCCATCTGCGCCGACCGCCTGCATCTCCAGCCGGTCCCAGCAGCTCCACTCCCGCCCGCCGTACTGCCAGGGGGTAGCAGCCTGCACTGGCACCCCAAATCCTGGCTGCCCAGCCCCATGGGGCAGGGACTGGTACAGCACAAGGGCTGGAGGACGTCAGGGCAGGCAAATGGGCAGGGCACCATGGTGGTGCTGCAGGGGCAATGGGGGACACAACTATCCCCCCCAGCACTGCTGGGGTCCACTTCAGGGGTCAGTGTAGTGTGGGGCCAGCACTGCCCCTAGCCCCGGGCCAGGAGAGGCGCACAAAAGGCCATTGAAGCGTTGCCCAACCCTACACAATCACCTCTTCTCATGCTTGTGGCCCCACGACCCCTGCTCCAGCCCAAGGAGGCCAGTGTGGTGCCAAGCCCGGGGCCAAGCTCCGGACACGGCCCCGCACCGTCTGGCAGGGCTGCGCAGCCATCTGCCTTCGCTGCAGGCAGCGCCAGCACTGCCCGCCTGGCCCCAGCCCCACTCGGGAGGGGTGTTCGCACCTGGTCACTCTCCCTCCTGCTTTCTGCTGCCTTCTCACCTCCGCCTTCTGCTGCCTGCACTTATCCCACTGGTGGAGAGAAGGGCTTAACCCCATCCTCACCAGGGCAGCAACTGCTCGGCACAGAGGGAGAGCCACGGCCTGGCCCTCCACCACCAAATACATCGCTCTGGCCCTGGGAAGCATATTCCTCTGGACAAGGCTGGTCCCCAGTGTGGGCTCCCCAGGTCCCCATGGGGACATAGGTCACACCAAGCAGGCCTTGGGGACATGTGTTCCCATCACAGCCAAGCAGCTGGGTGTGAAATGTCACGCCGGGTGTCTTCGCCCTGGGACATGGAGGTGTCGGGGTGCTGCTGCAGGGACCTGAGGGCATGGCCAGACCCAGCAGCATCCTCCATCCAGGGATGATGCCAACCCAGGGACACTTCAGCCAGGATGGCACAGGACTGGGCATGGAGTTTGGGGGGCCATGGGGCAGCCGTGAGCCCAAAGTGGTGCTGGAGCCGGCACAAGGCAGCGGAGTCGCCTCCCTCCCCCTCTTCCTGCCCCCGGCCCTGGGCCCCCCGGGCCAATCTGGTTCCAATCGGCGCTTCCTGCCGTGCCGGAAGGGCTGCCTCGCACGCCATAAACCCCCAGACAAAGGGGCCTCTATAGCCCAGACGGTCCCAATCTGGGCCTGCCCCCACCCCCGCTCTCCCTCCCTGGTTCCCCACCGCCGGGACCCCCGGCCCC